GTCAATAGACTTGAAGAAGAGGAACGAACACACGTGGAAGAGACGACAAAATATCGCGGCTAAAACTAACGCATCAAGAGCAAGAGATCCCGTCGAGGTGTTTACAACTCATCGTCAAAAGGATGTGTCAGTCGTATTAAAAATTTAGTCAAGGACCCGAGGATCAAATTGTTTGTACGAGGAGAAGAGGGAGCAGGAGATACAATCGCAATTCCATGAACACCAGCCAGACGAGCTATGGGACCAATTGGAATTGGCGAAAACTTTAGCCTATAAGGCTGATTCGCATGCAAACGACAACAATGATAAACCGAATATATGGATTCGTAAACGAGACGATCCAAATAATAAATTAAATAAATCTTACAAGTCTTCGGGCAGCGAAGATAACATTACCACTTCTAAGAAGAGGAAATGGCGAGGAGTGAAGAGGCACTCTGACGACCCTACAACAATGAAGATTTTAGCCAACGGCCGAAACAGCAATCGAAGATCTCAGAATTCCAACCGGAAGAATGAAGATTGGCGAGGAGTTAACGATAACTCCAATAATTCGCCGAAGAAAAATTTAAAAGATAAGCCGAAATTCAATAAAAAAACGGCAAAATACAGAAATAAAACTCAAGACACAGCGATACTTGTCTGTGACGATAACCAATTAAAACCAGCCAATAGCAGAAGAGCTAGGAAAAATCGCAACAAAATGTTGAGAAAAAAAAGGGTACAACAGCAAACGTCAACCAAAAGATCAAAATACAATAAACAATCAAGCTGAAATAATTAATAGCAGCTTAAATAATAAAATAATACCATTAATTAATAAAGCAGATATAGTCTTAAAGAGACTCGCGATGAAAATGCGCACAAATGCGTCGATGCATGCGCACAAGCCTGAAAGGCTAACCGAGCGGGAGGCGGCCATCTTGCCTTCTTCTCGAGTATCTGACACGTGGGTGACACATCGAAAACCTAAAACGCGTGATAATATTCGTGAAAAATCACAGAAATATAGTGCGAAAGGCAGAAAAGAGTATAATAACAGCAAGATGGAGAATATTGAAAAAATCCTACAAGAATTTTCAACCTCGAAAGAACTAGCTCAAGAATTAAATAAGTTGCAAGATGAGGTAACCTCTCGAACGAAGAATAAAGAATTGATGTACTCGCTGGCAGAGAAAGTTGCAAAATTAAGAAAAATATTAAGTGAATTGCCCGCGAGCGAAGAAGATCAACATGAATTACATGAGTTGAATAAGAGCTGGGAGGAAAAAACCAAAAAGGTAATAGAATTAGCAAATAAAAAACCGTCAGAAACTATTACCATAAAAGACGAATTCTCAATTAAAAATGAGAATCGGGAGGAAATATACAACGGTACAATTAACGTCACAGCTAATTGTAAGTTACCACCGCATAACATAATCGATAGAAGATTTAGATTAATAATAGACGTAGTTAACCATAAGATTAAAATACGAACAGAAGTTCCAGGAATCGACACGGAAGAGCATGAAACGATACGTCATCCTAAAGAGGTAATTCAAACACCGACATCCGATAGTCAAGATATTGAAAACGAATGGCAACAATTAACTGGAGGACAGAGCAACATCTATAGCGAATCTGAAGGTGAACAGGAACAGCAACAGGTGGAGCAGCCATCTAAAAAGCGTAGAACCTATAACAAGAAACATTCAAAAAAATTGATGCCGTGGGAACGATCACCTAAAAAGCAACCGACGGTCCGACAAATTGTGTCTGGTAATCAAAATAAAGACACGAAAGGAAGATTTTCATTCGGAAAGAAATCCGACATACAGCCTAAGGGTCAAAACATAAAAAATATTATGCACAAGATCATTCCTTGTTCTATTAGATTGACTCGCGTGGATTCTCCAAGCTCACAATCGGCGAGGAGAATGCAACCGTCCGCTAATATAGCGACGATTGCATCGGAAGATCTTGTGCAGAACATTGAGACAGAAACGGAGCAGCCAGAGCAGCCGACTGAGGTTGCAGAGATGATCGTGGAGGAGTGGCCAACGGATATCGCGGGAGAAGAGGTTATTGAAAACTCGGAAAATAGTTACCGAGCTCCATATTCACCGATGTCCGAGGATGGGATAGCAGCAGAACTCCAGAGACAGCTGGGGGAAGCGGAACAGGATGCAGCCTACGAGGAGTTTGATCCTGCCCAAGATGGTCCACCGTAGATCAACGGCAAAGCGCTGTAAAAAGAAAGAACATTATCGTTTGACATGCTAATAAGCAAAAGATATAGTTATTTTTATAAATAGATAATATATGTATGTAACACATAGCGTTAATATATAGTTCTTACCTTTATATGAGATAACATAAGAAAAAGCGTAATATTATACTCACCTTCATAAATCCTCTTCGTACCTATAATATGAAAAAGAATAATTATATTAAAGTTAAATTCATTTAATTCATTCAATTCATTCAATATAAAGAATTAGAATATATCCACTTACCTGCGTAGAGTCATTCATTTACGTAGAAGCACCTGCCTGCGTAGAGTCATACAGTGTAGAGCACCAGGCAAAGGTGAAAATTAAATATTCATTCTAACGGAGATTCGCTCCGATAATTATTATTATTTCATGCTAAAATAGCATATGGCAAAAGGCCATTTTGATTAATTAACTTTTAAGACTTTATATACGATAAAAGTTTATGTATCAACTTGATATTATACACACGGGTGTATCTCGACATAACGAATGTTTCCAACGGAATAAATCCGAGATTCAATGCGTATTAGCGAAAGCGCAACTGCATGCCATAGGAGCATTGCATTCGTGTATAATAATCGCGCGAAAAAGCGTCAAGTCCGATATCCAACCGGGTTGGCGGACGAAAATGTAAACTCGCCTATAGAACGTAACAGCGTATCGCGAGACAAGATATAGAGTCTTAATATTATATTTCTAACATTAAAACGTAACGCAGAATATGTATTCTTCATAATTTATCGAATTTCGGATGAGATAGCTTTAAGCTCTCATTCTAATTGTCGTTTATTGGTCGATTCATGTCATGTCACATATTCTGACGTCACGATACGCGAAATGGCGGATACCAAGTTCAATCAGCCAATGAGAAGGCATTAAACCCGAGAGATTTCATTAACTCGTAATATTCCGTCATTCGTACGCGAAACGCGTTTCTATTATATTATATTCGTCTAATTAAGCTTTGTAAAGCGTGCTGAACCAAACACAAGCCATTTCCAAAGGACATAAGAGTCCTAGTAACTTCACGTGAACGCGAGATTCGCGTAAATCTATATTTCTCATTCTATTGGCTCACGCTTTGGTTCAGAACGAGTATTATACATTTTATTTTATGTTTATATGCGTGCGCAGCGTCTAACAGCAATAATAATTGAGTAATTAAAGAAAAACCTAGATTCTGGG